GGTTGACCTGGGATTGCCCCCAGTGCAGCCCATGTTCCCCCATTTTGCCCCTGGCTTTTGTGGGTTCCTCGGAATCCTGCTTACAGTGCCAGTTGTTGGGGGAAAGCTCCAAAGTCTAAATTCAGAATTGAGTTTGAAGAACTGAATGTAGCCTTATTCAAATTCACAAGACCTTTGGTAGGAGAAACTTACATAGAGGACAAAGCAGCTGCTCCCGGTGGTGGCCGCCAGGAATACATCCACACCCCCCGCAGGACAGGAGCTCTTTTTATAGGGGTTAACAGTAAAACCACATGGTGGATATCATGTAGACCACCAGGAAGAACATGTATCCCTAAGTTAACAGATCACCTAAGGCAGTTATCACACTACACATTCATTACTCTCCTTCCCTGGGCCTGATGTTTATCTTTGGGTGGCCTTTCAGCTTCCTGGGTAGTCAGCCGAGCTGAGGCTACAGAGACTTAAGCAGTCACAGAGGGTTCAACAGAGCGCCCAGCACTTCCCAGACGCCTTTGCTGCTGGAGCCGTATTGCATCTCCAAGTTCCCTTTGCAGACTGTAATCTCACAACAATAATTCCTCTAGAAAACAGCTTTTCCTTGAGACAGGTTTCCTCAGCAAAAAGTTGACTTTAAAAATGACTACCTGAAATGAGAGTCCCACCCCAACTCACAGGCCGAGATATTCTTACACCTGTTTCATAAAACTTTCAAGTTCCTGTACCCTACAAGTAGGCTCACGGTGGAACACACGAGCCTTCTAAAACGTGACACTGTCAGTATCGGAGCGGGCTTCCCTCTGTGCAAGCAACCATCTCCGAACCATTACGCATAGACAGCCCCTTGCCGAGGCTCCAGAGCAGCGGCCGCGGGCAGGGCCAGCAGCGGCAGGCGGGGCGGGCTCGGCCCTTCTCGCAGGGACAGCGCTCGGCCATCAGAAAGGAAGTGCAGGGGGAGGTTTCCAGAGCAGGCTCCGTGGAGGACAGCTCGCCGACACAGTCCTTTTCTTCGCAAAGACTTCATCAAACTCCCTCTTCAGACCCGTTTTCATGGTATCAGAAAGAACAAGACTGGGGAGATGGTTAATATTTCTGTCAGCCTCAACGTCCTCGGCCTCACGCATTTTCCTGCCCTCCATTCCCGAGGCCTCCTCTGGCAACCGCCCTGCAGTGCTCCAGTTATCTGATCCGTTTCTTCACAAATGACATCTAACCTGCCAGGCGCAGAAAGGCCCCTGTGCCAGGGTTTACCACGACCCTCTGTATCCAGATGTGTGCAGAGAATCCGGTCACTGGGACCAGCACATGCCCTGCTTCCATTGGCCTTTTCTTTCCAACGGGACAAGCCTCCTCCGCCTGCTCTAGCTTGTGGTCCCATTTACAAGGAACTGAAACATGTCTGCATGCTACTCCCTGGCGGGGATGCTCAGGGAAATGTGGGGTTCGGGCTGCAGGGCCGGCTCGGCACCATCGCCCCCCAGCGGGAAGGCCCTCCCACTGGGGCAGTAGCTGAAGGGCCCATCAAGCATGACCATGGCCAGGAAGAGAGGAGGTTGTGCCCACGGCCACCCATGTCCCTCAGCCCAACAGCTAGAAATTTTTATACATTGCTGGTTGTTTTTGTTTTGTTTTTCAGGGAGAGAGAGAGAGAAACATCTATCAGCCGCCTCCTGCATGTCCCCTACTGGGGATCAACTGGAAACCCAGGCATGTGTCTTGACTGGAAATCAAACCGGGACCTCCCAGTCCTTGGGACTGACACTCAGTCCACTGAGCCACACCGGCTGGGTATATTGCTGGCTGGACTGAAAATGTGTACAACTACCTTGGAAGACAATTTAACATTGTCTTTGTAAAGCTGAACATGCATATATTCCATGACTCAGCAATTTTATTACCACAGAATCAGATTCCTCCCTTGTTAGTGGGAGTGTGTTCTTGAGGCACAGTCAGAATAAGCATATGCAGAGGCCCCCAACAGGAGGAGAAGATGTGGTAGAAGACTTCATTTGCATAAAATTACATTCCTCGGTTTCCAACGTCCCATTTCCCTGCAGCCAGTCCTGAAAGAGGGGTAGCTGGGGCTTTAGCAAAGCTAAAAGCAAAGCCAGAGTCCAGGGCTTTCTCTCCCTGAGGTAGCCAGGTCCAGATTAGGATGAGTCTAGATTCAGCCCATCGGTCGGTTGCATGGAGTCCCCATGGCCGTGGGCCGCATGGCGAACGCAGGGCATGGGAGCCCCGAAAGCAGTCCAGAGGTAGCAAAAGAGAGCTTTCTTTGTCTAGAAGATTAAATATTCAGGTTTCATGGCCACACAAGTTCTGGCCACTGAATTGCTCCCAGGTGTGATGGACAGGTAGGCACCTCCCACATCACTCAGACTTCACTGGGCATGTGTCTAAACTGGCTTTGTTCAGTCTCTTCCCCCCACTGGTCAGCAGGGCACAGACCTGGAGTATTAAAGTAGCTAATCTTCCCTTTACTCCTTTCCTGTTAAACAATAACCAGGTTATTGCAAATGTTTCATTTTGAATTATATGTATGTGCCCTACAAAAACTCTTGCATAGTGTATAAAAGACAGAGAGATAAGTAATTTATTGCAACTTTGCTCTTAAAAGCAAAAACTGGACTTATCAGAAATGTTTATTTTAGAGATTAGATAAATATATTATGGTACTTTCCCGCAGTGAGTATATAGCTGTGAAAATCAATGAACTGCATGTATATTCTTACTTTGGCGGTGGCGAGAATGGCACCAGGTGTTATACTGGTGTACTTGCGTTCCAGCTAGGAAAAATTTCAGAGCCAAGACACAAACTATAAGAGCACATATATTTAGAAGATCACAGAGGTAGAAGAAACGAACCGTAAAAGAAATGGGGTCAGGAAACAAATTATAGAGGCAAAAGAAGGGCCCTTGGAGATTAGGAGAAAGAGTGGGTGAGGAAAACTAGCCTGGCGGGATGGAGGGGGCGGGGAAAGGCTCCAGTGTGCTCCTCGGAGGGAGAGCGCGCTGTGTCCTCCATCCTAAAGGCCTTCAAGGGCAGGGATTTTAGGAGAGGTCCCAGGGGGAGGATCTTAATAGAATAGTCATCAGCTTTCCAGGTGTGTCTTTGTCATGGTCTCCAATGATGGTCAACACCAGGGCAGGGTCATTAGCCAATGCAGCTGGTCCTGGGGTCAGCTGTGGGTCGCTTGTCTGATTTCGTTGCTTTTCTGGGCCTGGTACTAAAACACAACTAAGGCCTAGATGTTATCTTTAAGGAAGAAAAGTCCTGGGGGGGGTGGGGGTGTCTAAACCACATGACCACCCTGGCTGGTTTGGCTCAGCAGTTACAGTGGAGAGTCCCAGGTTCGGTTCTTGTCCCCAGCCTCATTGGGGTTGTGCGGGTGGCAGCCAGTCAATGTGTCTCTCACATCGATGTTTCTTTCTCTTTCTTCCTCCCTTTCTCCCTCCCGCTCTATCTGAAGGCAAATGTAAAAGTGTCCTCGGGTGAGGATAAAATAAATAAACCATATGACCAGCAATAGGCTAGGGAAGAAAAGGTTACCCTGGAGACGAGGTCACACCCTACAACTGTCCTTTGTTAGACACCTCAGACTTTTCCACCCTGGCGACCTTCTACACCTGGCCACCGTCCTTGCTCTGCTCATGTTTAACTACCTACCACACTTAAACATGGATAGATCTTAGAAATACAATGTGGAATGAAAAAATCAAGTTGCAGCAGACTAGGTACATTATGATACAATTTCTACATACAGTTTAAAAGGAAGCCAAATAATGTATTGTTAAGTAGTGTATGTGGTAAAATTATTTTTAAGAAGCATTGGGATTTGGGATAACAAACACAGGATTTAGAATAGCAGTTACTTCTGAAGGGGGTGAACGAGGGATGGGATTAGACTGGCGAGCACACAGGGAGTAATCTTATTCTAGTTTTTGGGTTGGGTAATAGGCTTTAAAACTCCCATCTGTATTACATATATTCCTCTGTTTGTTCAGAGAAGGAGTAGGCTTCCAGATCAGCCTGCAGAAGGCAGGGCTGCACCGCCTGCACAGTGTCCTTGTGACGAGGAGGACAGAGCAGAGCAGGGAGCAGGCTGGGAGGGGAGCAGATCCCTGAAAAGCTGAGACGCAGAGGGGCAGGAGGAAGTTTTGGAGGTGATATGTTCATCATCTTGACTTTGGTGATGGTTCCTCAGATGTATACTAATGTCAAAACTCATCAAATTGTACACTTTAAACACGATTTATTGTACCAATAAAGCTATTAAAATCAAAAGTCGGGGAGAGGTTGAAGCCAAGCTCTTCTCCCATCTGAACAATGAACTAAGTCTGTCTGCCTTCCAGTGGAGGAGGGTGGGATGGTGGAGGTCCCCTCCGCCTCTCCACGCCCCCTGGGGCAGTCCCTCCTCTCCATAAAGGACAAGGAGGCGCATTTTGTTTCTTCCTGCCTAATAAAAATAACTTTTCCCAAAAAATGTTTAATGAATTGTTGACCTTAAACTGTTGAGTGAACCCAGTTTTGTTTTGTTTTGTTTTTATTCTCACCTGAGGACATTTTTTGGGAGGGCATTCATCTTCAGATAGAGCAGGAGGGAGAGAGGCAGGAAGAGAGAGAGAAACATCGATGTGAGAGGGATACATTGACTGGCTGCCACTCACACGACCCCAGCCGGGGCCGGGGACAAACTGCAACCCAGGTACATGCCTATAGCAGGAACCAAACCCAGGGCTCTCTGGACCACAGGCCGACACTCTAACCACTGAGTCAAACCAGCCAGGACTAAACTGGGTTTTTTAAAGGTCAGATACTGTATTAAGTGAGTGAGTTATCTGGAATCTGTTCTTCAATAGTTGAGACTTTTAAGATAAAATAAATGAATATTCCTTTTTAACTTAAGCATTATTTTGATTTTGCAACCGATACAACTTAAACAAATACAAACACATTTGAAATGAAATTTTCCTGATGTTAAGTTATCCTTGAACACTAGATGGTGTGGTGAGACCCATCCCTTCAAATGAAGAGCTGCCTTCAAACAAGAAGCTGTGTCTTGGAAACCACTTGGAAGTCCCGTCTAAACTGGAGTGAAGACTTCAAGAATTTTTATTGCACTTTAAAAAGTCAGCTTTGTTAACTGAGAAAATAAGGATGGATTTTGTAAACAGTTGAAAAAATTTTTGAGAAAGCTAATTTATTACTAGCATATGAATGATGTTACTGAGAATATTTTAACTTGAGATTTATTTGTTTGTTTCCAGAATATAGTACTATGCTCTTTTATTATACTGAGTGAGGTAGCAATAATATAAGGACACCAACTTAATTGCCCATAGGGATTGAGTTCTCCCTGTGTTTGCTTTATGTTAGCCAGTTTAAAGGGGTGTGGGTCACTGGGAGTTACATCTCAGCGGAGAAATGCACATCTTTTAAGAAATATTAATTCCTTTGGGTGATGGTGACAATTTAATAAACTTCTCCAGGGATATAAATGACAACCTGGCTATTTTGAAGAGTCAGTATATGGATCACCAAAAGTTCACATTTATACTCAAAGCTTTGTAATAACCAGAATTTATTTAAGATGGAATCATAAATATGAAGTTGGTGGGCCTGGTCTGCATTATTAAAAGTATATTTTTTAAAAGGTTATTAATTTTTTTAAGCCTTTTGATATGTAAAATCATAATGATGATTTGGACTGTGGTGTTATATCACTGATTTGGGATAGCAACGGGAAAATATTATTTTGAGACAGTATTACTACTGTTTGACAGCTCTGACTCCTGAATCACTAGCACTGGAACTTAAATTTGGTTATGATCTTAACGGAGAAGAAATAGTCTAGAATATTGAAACTAGCTGCTTAGCATTACTCATAATGCTGCCTATTTTTCCCTCCATAAAATTGACACAGAGTGTCTCATGGCTTTGAATACAAGGTCTTTTAAAAATATTGGCAAATCTTGCCCTGGCCGGTTTGGCTCAGCGGTTGGAGCATCGGCCTGCGGACCAAAGTCCTGGGTTCGGTTCCCACTAGGGGCATGTACCAAAAAACAAAAACATCTGTAAGTCTTAAGCACACTGAAAGTCCCGGAAGTAGACTTCGTGGTCAGTTCATTTACATTTCAAACTGCTCTGCGGGAGACCCCCTCCCCCTCCTCGTGCCAGTTTCTCAGAATTGCACAGGACAATCCAAATGTTGCCCAGATGGCCTTGCCGGTACAGCAGGCTGCCCCGGCCCACTGGGAGTTCAAAGTCACCATGGCAGGCAGTTGGGAACTGTCATAGACATTTTACACAAGGTGTAGGGCATGGAGCAGAGAAGGAGGGGAGGAGAGGTGCCCGCAGAGATAATCAGTGGTTAAGCTCTTCTTTAATATTTATCAATATGGACACACTGAGATTTGCTCACATCCCCCCAGGGGTCTTCATACACTAATTATACAAACTTAAATGTTTTCTTGCATTTGTTGTTTTTTATTAATATGTCAATTCCATCAAATGTTTTATAAATCACTCAGTAAATATTTTGTAAGACCCAAGAGCCTGGAACACTGCCAGGTGTATGGATTTATGTGTTGGATGTTGGAGATGTGGGATATCAGAAGGGAGAAACATACACATGGGAAAAACTATGGTTAGGAAGTGGAAAATTCATATTTCCATTGCACTATTAAAATGGTCATGATAATGCCATTTTTCTTCTGTACAAGGGATCAGATTTTAGGATATACTGAGAGTTTACTACGTAGTACCAGAAGGAAAGCTCTATGAAGGCAGGGACATACACACAGAGAGTTTTCTAACTGCTGAATCAGTGCCTACACCAGTACATAATAAGCATTCACTATGTGTTGACTAATCGAATGACTCCTGGACACTGGCCGGCCCCTGGAGATGAGATGTGTCAGAAATGCTCCCTGACCTCAAGAAGCTCACAGTCTAGTGAAAGATATAACTATGTAATCGAGCAATAGAGAACATTCTGAGAATGTGGTCCCCACCCTGACAGCTTTGCGTCACCTGGGGACTCGGTAGAAATGCAGCCCCCTCGGGCTCACCCAGGCCTTGAGTCAGACCTTGGGGGTGGAGCCCGGCAGGGGTTCTCTTCGCAGGCCCTCCAGGAGCGGAAGAGGACAAGCACAGTCAGGGGAGGCCTGGGGAGGGGCCTTGTGAAGGGAGGTGCTTATGGTGGGCCCTGAGGGGTCCGGGGCTGCGGACGAACAGAGGGCCTGAGAGGAACCTCTGGGAGGCAGAAAAGGGCAGCAGCTGGAGCCAGCCCATTGCTGAGTCCTTGGAACAGAACATGGAGAAGATCCAGTCATTCACAGGTAAGAAGCTTTGTGCCTTAGCCCGAGAAATCGGAATTTGCACTTAAACAATAAGTCTTCCTCACTTTCAAAAATTGGGAGGATAATAGTAAGTTCATAATTTGTAAAGAATAGGCCTGCATTTGTTTGTTACAAGTGAAACAGGGTGCCGATGAGCGGGATCCCAGCCAGGCCTGTCATGTAGAGGATGCTCGGTTTGGATGTGTGGTTTCCTTGTGACCACTGAAGCTTTTCTCTCACCAGGCTTGTCGGTGGCTTTTTCTTCCTCAGTTAGTTTGGAAATATGTACTTCTTTCATAAATCTTCCTCAATTTCTGCACGAATAGTTCTGCACTGGGGTCTGCCGCTACAAGTACTGTGGGCCCGCTTTGGTGTAAGTGACACTACCTACCAACCAATTTTGTGAAGTCCTGGTTTTGTCAATAGCAGCCACGTGGCACTTAGCTGAGGCTGCTACTACTGCTTCTTAGACTTAAGCATCAGTTTAGCGCTTTCGTTTCATGTGTAACATTCAGAAGTCCTTTTTTTTTGGCTATTATTTTAAATTATATCATATTTTAGACATAAAAAGTATATAGTTACTACAAATACTCATGTACCCACGATGAATAATTAACATACTGAAGTTGGAGTGTTAATCACAGGTGATTCAGTCCTCCTGAGATCTAGGTTAGAGCCTCATTTTGCATCTTTCCTACCTTTGCCTCCGAGGGCGCATCCTGGGTCCTGGAAGAAGGTCCCTGTCCTTCAGGGCCACAGTGTTTCGGAGGCGCTGGTGGGGCCCCGGACGAAAACGCTGATGGCGCCTCCTTCTAAGAGACTTTCTAGCCAGCCTGTTTCATTTACTTTATTACCTTTTGTCTGTCAAATTTCCTCTTTCTTCTTAGCCGGTGGTACTCTTCCTGGTAGGAAAAGATAACCAGCCGCTCTCGCCTGGGTGACCAGTCCTGGGTGTCGGGCCTGTTCTTGGGGGTTTTCTAACTTCCTTGCAGCCGAGCAGGCTGGGCCCCAGCAGTTGTCCTGTGGCCGTTGTATGACCTAGTGAGGACGCGTCCTGACGGGTAACGGGACGGCCTGCCCCGGCCCGAGAGGTGGGTCTGAGTTACCGCGGGCTGGCGTGCCGACTCCGGAGCGTAGGCCTCTGTTATTCCTGGCCAACATGTATGGCACCGTTCATTCAACTCCTGAGCACATAGGTGCCAAATTGGCTTTGAATATTTTCAAGTAGAGGAAATTAAAATTTCACTATCAAAATTCATACATTGAATTTTAAGAAGTTTAAAAAATTTGTTCAGTAACAGTGAAAAATGTTTTTTTACATTTCTAAAGTTGACAGTGTGCCTTTACCTCCTAGCACAAGTTTGAAGCTGTGAGTTATTCAAAATTCTGCCTGGGTGATGGACCAGGAAACCCTTTTCTGGCATCGAGAGCCGTCCCACGCCTTTGTTACCGGCAGGGCCCAGCCGGAGCGCGTCCGCTTGGAGGCAGCCTCGGGTGAGCCGGGGAGAGCTGCTGCCCTCTGCTGGTTGCAAGTCTCAGGGGGACCCTTAGAGTGTAGGAAGAAATAAAAAATTCAAGCCTGAGAAGGGGGGTGGGGTGTTCTAGAGAGAGCAGCACTGAGTCTTTGTCCTGAGGGCTTTTAGTCCTTTTTTTCCCTTCAGGCGGGGTTTTAGCAGAATATTCATCAGCTTTCCAGGTGCATTTCTAATATGCTGATGCGTCAAAATGCGCCTATTGACCTGGCTGGTGTGGCTCCCTGCTTAGTGTCTGCCCAAGCGCCAGAGATCAGGGCCGCGTGCCTGGGTTGCATGTCCGATCGCCACCCTCTCTCCTACTCCCTCCCTCCCACCCTTCCACTTTCTCTAAAAATCAATGGAAAAAATATCCTTGAGTGAGGATTAACAAAAATAATTAATTAATTATAAGAGCATAGAGGGAAGTTTTGGATTATTCTTTGGTCGGTTTTACTTTTATCTTGGGCCTGTCTGGATCTAATGGGGTTTTTGTTACTGTTCCCCTGACTTCATCTGTCCTTGAGTTTGACGGGCACAAATGGCGTTAATTGGGTCTCTGTTCTCTATTTTCCCAGACCAGGGAGATTTAAGCTATGTATTCTCTGGTTAGGGAGGGGAGGTATAAACCCTTTGCTTTCAGGTGTCTTTGGCTGGGGGAGATACAGTCTTGCAATTCACCAGCTGTTCAAATTGTTTGGCCTTTTTAAATTTTCTTGTCTTAGTTTCCTCATTCCATTTGCCCAGGAATTTTCCTAGCTTCTCACTGTCCTGCCACACCTTTGCTAGAATTTTGTCTTTCGTTTTTAAAATCCAAAAAATCAACGCAGGTGAGGGTTTCTCAAACCTTGGCACTACTGACACGGGGGGCCAGGTGATTCTTTGCTGTGGCGGGGTTTACAGTCCTGTGTATTGTCAGTCACCCAGCGGCATCCCTGGCCTCTGCCCACTAGGTGCCACTAGCAACTCCCACCCAGTATGAACCAAAAATGCTCCCTGGGGGCAAAGTCACCTCCAGCTGAAAGCCACTGATATAACCATCCATGTGAACTTAAGTGTGCATTTGACTACATGTGCCAATATTGTATCAAACCTAAGGGTCAGTTAATCTAGTATAACGGTGACATCTACAGCTTTTTAAAAAATAGTCAAGCACCAAAGTTTGAGGATGACAAATTCTACTGTATCATCATCATCTTCAAATGTCTTAAATAAATTAAGTTTAAAGTGGATGAGTGAAGAGCAGTTTGCAATCTCTCACTTCGATTTTATTTAGAGGGTTAAAGGAATAACCTATAGCTTTTGCTTGGATTTGTTTGTTTTTCAGGTTACTGATACATATGAATAAGTTAAATAATTTTGTAAACATCCTCAATAATGCAATAATGTTTCTTCCTGTTTCCAAAGTGTAATGGAAGATCTACAGAGTTGCTACACTTACCTGGGCTACACATTAATCAATCAAAAGTTACTTTGTGGGGTGGGATTTGGTCACAGCCGATGTCATACAGAACAAACCTGACTTGCTGCCATCTGGAGCAGAGAACTGAATCTGTGATATTTGCCTCCTGGTACAGAAACGGGAAATACCTGCCACATGACCTTAGTTGGCATATACCCTGTGATTCATTTTGCAAAGAGAGAACAAACTGTTCAGCATGATAAAATATTTATCATATTTTCATTTTACATGTTTCTTAAAGTGATTGATATTTTTAATGCAATTACCATTGACTATTAAAAATCCAGTGGCGCCCTGGCCTGTTTGGTTCAGTGATTAGAGCGTTGGTCTGTGGTCCAGAGAGAC